CCATTGGGCCGTACGCCCCCCACTCGTTGGGCCGTAGGCCCCCATTGGGGCTGTAGACCCCCTTTTGGGCCGTAGGCCCCCCTTGGAGCCATAGTACCCCCTCTTTGGGCCGTAGTACCCCCTTTTGAGGTTGTAGGCCCCCCTTTAGGCTGTAGCTCCCCATTGGGGCCGAAGTACCCCCCTTGGGGCTGTAGTACCCTCCCATGACGGCCCCCCTGGGACTGTAGGCCCCACCCTTGGGGCCATTGTATCCCCCTTGGGGCCGTAGCCCCGCCCCCCGCTTGGGGTCGTAGGCCCCCCCTTAGGGCCGTAGTACCTGCCCTTTCGGCCGTAGGCTCCCCTTAGGGCCGTAGGCCCCCCAGGGGCCGTAGTACCCCCTTTGGGCAATAGGACCCCCTTAGGACCATAGCCTCCCCCTTTAGGTCGTAGGCCTCCCCTTGGGGCCGTAGTACCCCCCCTTGGGAACGTAGTAACCCCTTTGGGGCTGTAGGCCCCCCCTTGGGACTGTAGGCCGTCCTCATATGGTTGTAGGCCCTCCCTTGGGGCCGTAGTACCCCCCTTGGGGTTGTAGTACCCCCCCTTCGTGCCGTAGGCCCCACCTTCTGGCCGTAGGCGCCCCTTGGGGCCGTACCCCCACCTTTGGGCCATAGTACCCTCCCCTTGGGGCCGTCAGACCCCCCTAGGGACCGTAGTCCCCCCTTGGGACCGTAGCACCCCTCATGGGGCCGTAGTACCCCCCCCCCCCCCCCCTCGCCCCGTAGGCCCCCTTGGGGCCGTACTACCCCCCTTAGGGCCATAGGCCCCCTATTGGGGTCGTAGGCGCCCCCATTTAGAGTGGTAGGCCCCTCCCTTTGGGCCGTAGTACCCGCCCTTGGGGCCGTACTACCCCCCTTAAGGCCATAGGCCCCCTATTGGGGCCGTAGTCCCCCCCTCTTTGGGGCCGTAGGCCCCTCCCTTAGGGCCGTTGTACCCCTGTTTGGGTTGCACTTAGGGCCATAGGCCCCCTATTGGGGTCGTAGGCGCCCCCATTTAGAGTGGTAGGCCCCTCCCTTTGGGCCGTAGTACCCGCCCTTGGGGCCGTACTACCCCCCTTAAGGCCATAGGCCCCCTATTGGGGCCGTAGTCCCCCCCTCTTTGGGGCCGTAGGCCCCTCCCTTAGGGCCGTTGTACCCCTGTTTGGGTTGCAGGCCCCCCTTGAGGGCATAGTATCCCCTTGGGGCCGTAGGCCCCCCCCTTTTAGGGTCGTAGTACCCCCCCTTGGGGCCGTAGGCCACCCCTTGTGGCCGTAGTACCCCTTTCCCCCCTTGGGGCCATAGTACCGCCATTGGGGCCGTCGGCCCCCTCACCTTTGGGCCGTAGCCCCCCCCCCCCTTAGGGCCGTAGTACGTCCCCTTGGCACCGTAGGACGCCCTTTGGGGCCGTAGTACCCCTCCTTGGTCCGTGTCACGACCCCAAGGATAGGGCCGTGATTATTGGGTTTAATTTAAAATTTAACTCAATTAAACTGGACTGTTCACAAAAATAAAGACATAAATATCAATATAGTTTGCTCTGGAGACTTTCTTTCACAAATAATCTTTAAAACAGTCCATAAAGTCCAATGAAAATAGTACAACTCAGGGACAATGTCGACCAAATACAGTTCGTATACAGAAATACAATACATCTCAGAATTTAAACTGTAAATCTGAAACAAACGTACCGCTTCGAATCTCGTACCTTCAATCCATTAGCATCCACTTATCACGCTGCAAATCTAAACCGCTAACTCTGGAGAAAGGGTTTAAAACATTGAAAACATAATAAAAGTGAGCGGAAGGCCCAGTAGGATATAATCTTATAAAATATTTTTAAATAAAGGTACTCACGGTCAGAAGATATACACCTGGAACCGATCATCTTTTTTTAAAAAAAAAAAGGGAAATACT